GATAATAAAATAATTATGCTTAAGAACACTTTCAATACCTCAACTGATATCTACAAAAGCATGATGTGACAAAAACTTACAATAAAAATGAGAAATATTTGGTAAATTTTAATAATTCATTTTTATTTTTACTTAAAAATCTGCTATCGGTAGAAATCAGAATGATAATTAATAATTTTTATGCCTGACTAAGAGTAAATGTGAATTATTTCGTGTAAATTATAAATTAATATTAATTAATAATGTGAAAAATGTGTGATATGTAAAAGAAAAGTGTTGCAGTTTAAACCTTTAAATTATCTAATTTAAATTCGAGACTTAACACATCAGAAAACCTATCTATTAGTCATTCTATTCTTTGAAGTTTAACAAACCTTACTTCACTCAAGTTGAAAAAAATTCAAATAATTCATTTATCTACAAACAGTGACGTTATAACTTTATTCTTATCAGTTTCAAATTAGCAATTTAAATTTCAAAGTAAAATAACTGATTACATAATTTTTTTTAGTAATAATTCGATTGCTATATGAGTAACACTTTATATACTATCGAAAATGTTTATATCTTTCAAAAAACGGATTTTTAAGAGATATAAAGCGAATTAAAAAAAATAATAAAACATGGCGTCTGTTTATTGTGATTTAACTATTTAAATAGGCTTTTAAAAAATATATGTAATCTATCAATTTTTAATGCAGAAAAATGTGTTTTTATCTGTTAGAAGCTTAGACTTAATAAAAATTCACTTTTTTTGGCTTTGTTTTTACAAAAAGTTAAAAATTTTAAACCACAAATGTGAAATATGTTAAGATTCATTAGATCAGATTTTGCAGCAACGAAATCATCTATTAAAAATATTTTCTAATTTTAACTTAGAATAATGGAATAATACACCTGTGATGTAAGCTTAAGTTGTTGCCTTGTGGGAATTAATCGTTCACTATTTTCTGTACTTCGTTCGCTTGCATAAGATGGACCGCTACGGCTATCATTTGTTCCGGCTGAATAGCTGTAAAGAGAAAAATATAATAAAAAGTTGTAGAAAAATCATAAAAATAAAAATTAATCAAAATTTTCAAATCAAATTATCGATTCTTTCTTTTTTCATTTATTAAAAATTATCAACAGCATATATTACAAAAGGAAGGTGAAAAAAATTATATTCTCTATAAGTTAAAATTTGTTAGATTTGCCTTTTCCTAATGAAAAAGAAAAAAGATTCGAATTCAAATTTTGCTCCTCACACTGTAATCAAATTGAAAAGATTAAAGGTAAACTATGCGATTTATTTGATAAAATGGCAAATAATAAACGAATGAAATTATTAGCAAGTATTAATATACGATATGTAAATGAAGCGAAAAAAAGAGAACAGTTGAAATTTTAAAACCTGCTCAGCTCTTCGGTGGAATATTCGCTATTTAAATCCGCCAAATACTTCTTTACTGTATAATTGTAATCCATTGTTGTAACCACTCCCTAAAATTAAATCTTTCCGGGAATAAAACAAAAATTGCTCAAATACTTTTTTAATTTATATAAATTTGATAAGCTGATATGATAGTAAGGAAAAAAGTATGACAATAAGCGTTCATCTTTCAAAAAGCATCAATAATTATAATTTTATGCGTGGAATATCAAGAAATATATAATGTATACACCAAAGAATTCTGATATTAGTGTATATTTCATTAATATCAATAAATAAATTATCAAACAGTTAGGTAATCAGTAAAGATGTCATTACTATTTCGTTAGTCATGTGTTAGAAGAAAAATAAAGATTATTCGATTGTTTTTCTTTTTTGATAATTAATTATAATATAGTTATTTCTAGCATAAAATACGATAAGTAATGTAATTAACATAAAAATTAAAGAATATATGATAAGTATACTAATTAATACGATCGTTATTTTGGATACAATAAAATATATTAATTCGCACGATAATAATAATAATTAGCATGCACAATTAGCACGATAATTGCATACAATAATCACATGATGACATAAACGTGCTCAACAACTGATCCTGGAGATTTTCACACTTTTAAACATGTAAACCAACTGATCATCTATTTTTTCGTTTTTTTTTTTATTTTTATTTTTGAGCATTTTTTAAGAGTTATAAACAAAACAAAAGGAATATCAAAGTAATCATTAACGATAAGAAAATAAATATTATCAAACATTATGCCATATTTATTTTTAACTACATAAATGGAAATTTTGCATAATAAACGACGAGTATATTCAAAGAGGAAAAGAAAACGGAATAGATTTCGATTATGAATGAATTTAATCTACTCCAATATAAGATGAATTAAGGATTTTGCAGTTAATCTACAAAAAGGAAAAGCCATTTTTCATTACCAATGTAGATGACATGTGGAAGAAAAGACAAAAAAAGCAGTTTTCATGTTACACATCCTAACAAGCAATGTGAAATTTCCCACGCACCACAGTATGAACTACGGTACACGCGATACGGTAATATACTGTATCAATGTGTGCTGTATGCTGTTTTTCATCCAACCAAATCAAATTCATAGACAATGTTTTTTTTCTGGATTTGAAAAAGATAAATAAAAAGTGTTAAGTCGTTTCAAAAAAAAAAGAATTTCATTTTTTTATAAAAATTTGAATCCAAATAACATTCGATATTTTGCTCTAAAAAAAATAATTTTATTAGCAGTAAATTATTATTCATAAGATAAAATCTTACAAAATCGACAATTTAAAAGTAACTTAATCAGATGACCACATTCCAGTAATATTAATTGCAAACTGATAATTTATTATGAGGAATCATAGCAAAATTTCAACTGTAAAATGATAGAATATAATCAAATAATCAATGAAAATTTTTTAAAAAAAGAAGAAATTAATAATCTATAATAGAAAGTGATAGCGAAACTTGTATTATATCAATAAAATTCAAATAATCCATGAAAATTTAAAGAAAAAAAGAAGAGAAAAAAACGAGCAAACCTCGTCACTGCTTGCTGTGTTCAACTGTGTACGATTGGTAATTTCATCGTTAAAACTATAATAATATTTAAAACGATAATTTGGTGTGTATTAAGTAGTATAAACATACAAAACTAAAAAAATTAAATAAAAAGTAAAAAAATCCCCCACAGATATTTCACTTCTTTTTTAAAGCTTTTTTCAGAAATTTCAAAAAAAAGGACATTTTTTTCTATTATTATCCATATCATATCTTTATTTCAGAATTTATGTCCATATATTTATTGTAACAAATAAAATTGTAACCTGAACACGAAAAGTTTGCACATTTCAATTTTTAATATAAATGTTAAAACTACTCAGTTATATTTTTAAGATTAATCAGTAACGATAAGTTATGAAATTTATAGCAATTTTTTCTACAGTATTTAAATTCGTGATTACCATTCTTCTAGAAATGAAAGTGATAAAGATTGATAGATCTTTTAAATATAAAAAATCTTGAAGCCCATGAAATATGCTTTTAACTTGAGCCAAACATGCTTGCATGATAATTGTTACCTCAGACTTATACTTGACAGATTTGATACTTTAAATTGCCAAATTTAGGCGTGCATGAATATGTATAAGTGCATATGTATTGGTGCATATTTGTATGAGTGGTTATGTATGTTCTTTGCAATCAGTATGAGCAGTAATCAATCAATATATTTTAACTAAATTTAATCGATGCAAATTGTTCAATTTTGTTTTCAGATTTTCAAATCGAAAAAAGATAAAAGATGATATCAATTTTGTGTATTGTAAAAGAAATAAAAAAAAATGTTTACCTAACTTGGTCAACAAGCGATGAAACAAGATAAACTATGTCGAAATTTGCTCGACCAAGAATTGTTTGTAATGATGGATTTGGGTGATTTCGACAAATGGATAAATGATATTGAATTAGCGGTTCCAAGGCTGTATAATCAAGTTTTGGCACATGTACAATGCTATTGCATGCATTAAACAAAGCCAAAATTGTAGCACAAAACTGAAATAGAATGAAATATAAGTGCAATAATGTAATTATTTCATTCAAGTTTATTTCGGTGATCAAAAAAAAAAAAAGAAAGGAGAGGAAAGACAAAAGGCTTAAAATATGTTTTTTGTAGCAATGAAAAATTTTAGAATATTAATCTAATCCATGAAAAGAAATTTCTTTTTCAAAAGTTTAAAATTTATATTTTTCGTAAAAAAAATATATATTTTTTTTTGTGAAATTATTGATAATGCAAAAAATCGTTTAATTGAAAATTCCCTTAATTGAAAATTTCTAAACTTTCTTCTTTTTCTCAAAAGTTTAGAATTTAATAACTGAAAATTCGTTTAATTGAAAATTGATTTTTTGTATTATCAATAATTTCACAAATTTGCTAAATTTCAAACTTTTGAGAAGAAAATTTCTTTTCGTGGATTTGATTAATATTCTAAAATTTTTCACTGCCACAAAAAAACACATTTCAATTTAATCTTTAATTTAATTTAATTTTAAAAAACACATTTCCGTTTAATTTTTAATAATTAGGATAGAAAATATTTTTGAATAAAAAAAATTCGAGATACTCTTTTGATTGTAAAAAAATCAAATTCTATATTTCTAGCAGATATATTTAGTCTTTTCTCGAATGACTGTAACAAACAAAACATTTTTTTCCTATTTAAACATACCCTTCGAATTCGTATGCTATCGTAGTTTTCGCATTTCGAAAACTTTCCTACGGCAAATGTCAATCTGCAAACAATTAAATTCAAAGAATGTAATTCTTTTTTATTATTAAATAATCATACCTGCGAATGAATAATCAAAAATATAAATTATAGAAATAATAACGATGAATAATTAAAAATAAAAGGATTATAGAAAAAGATAATTTCAAGGGAACAAATTAAATCTATTATTGAAATTAGCTTATTATTGAAGTGCCAATGAATTTCTGTAAAAAAAGAACATTTTAATATGTGGATACAAGAAAACATTTAATTAAAACATATGAAATGAATATTTCTTTAATTAAATAAAACAAAAAGTATGCAAATATATTTCCCTAATCTATTAAGGATGATGATTATGGATATGAATAAATAAATCAATTAAGATGGATTATAGTCCTACATATTTCTCTTTGATTTTTTATTTTGATTTTAAATAAAATTGCAATTTTAAATAAAAATCAATGTCTATTGCTAGTTTGATATTTGATGAACTTAATTATATTCAATTAAATTTTTTTTCTGTTTTTTGTTAAGCTTTTTTTTGTCTTTTTTTATCCATCCATTCATTTCTATTGATGAATGACAACAATAACCAGTTGATTGATATATATATAATAACAATGATGAAATGACAACACTAATGATACTGTCACGTCATTCATCGCTTCTACTAATCGTTGTACAATCGTCGGGATGAAAAATATATTTTAAGTAAAAACCAACCGGATGTAGTAATGATTGAAATGGAAAAATTCCAATTATATTGCTATTATTTAGTTGAAAAAATTTTCGTTTTTTTCTTTTACATTTATAAATTTAAAATTTTGAAATTTAAGGAATAAATTTAATCATAATGCGTTTTTGATGGACTATCACTATTAAAATTTATTTATTAATTAATAGACTTTTCAAGAATTTATTAAAATAATATAATTAAAATATGAATTATGTGGTATTTTTCAAGAAAATTACTATTTGTTACGAATGGGAAGTAATTTAAGATGAAAAGTTGATGTTAAAATGCCAATTATATTGCTATCATTTAGTTGAAAAGGAAATTTGCCACAATCGCCTAATTTTAGTGTAATATTTTCAATGTAATTACGACATTATTATTATCATCTATTCTTATGTGAAGCAATTTTGGGAGTAATTGTTAAATTTCTTTCATTAAATAAAATTATGTAAATTTA